CCCAGCAACCACATGGTGGCTCACAACCATCTGTAATGAGGTCTGGTGCCCTCTTCTGGCCTGCAGTCATACACACAGACAGAATATTGTATACATAATAAATAAATAAATATTTTAAAAAAACTATATTTTGCTACTGTTCTATAATCGTAATGGTAATATTTGTGTTTTCTGATGGTCGTAGGCGACTTCCGTGAAAGGGTCTTTCCACCCCTCAAAGGGGATCGTGACCCACAGATTGAGAACCACTGGCCTAGGGTATCCTCATTCTCCATAAAACAAATACAGCTTGCTAGCATAAATTTTAGCAAAATCAAACACTAAACATGAATCAAAGTTTAACACCGATCTCTCTCCAAAAGCCAATCATTTTCTCTACAAATCTAATTAGCAACCTCTGTTTTTATCACTTTTATAATTAAAAATTTCCTATAATTTAGTTTTTGGTTGAATGAGCCTGTATTCGAATGTAGACAATTTGCTGACATTGTGTTAAGGGGAAGATTTGCTGTAATATTAGATGTATTGGAAAACAACTCCTGTTCTGTTAAATTGCCAGCAGCATTAAATACCATGTACCAAAAAAATATTTTTTGACTTCTGTGTAATTTTTAAAAAAGCAGAAATAAGGGACCATATGAGCATCTTGCTGCTTCTACACTAACACAGTGCAGTTGGGGTTGGCGGTCACTGAGACAAAGCAGACAGTTAGCTTCGGCCAGGCTGTCTTAATCCCCAGTTGCCTCATTTGCTTCATTGAAGAGGGGTAATGAAAACGCTTGCACATTAGAGTCATTCTAATGTCTAAGTGGCCCAATGCCTCCCAAAGGTTCTAGAGAAGCATGCATAGGACAGTTTTCCAATGCTGGGGAGAACTTCAACTCTGTGGGGTGGTGCCATGATGGTTTCTCACTTCTGTCCATTAAAATCTCTCCACATTTGCAAGTTATCTTTCTATTATCAGTGTGTGTGTGTGTGTGCTCAAGACACAATCTCTGTGCCAAATTCCTTGTCAAAAGAAGTTGAGCAATGTTTTTGTGACCAGCACCCTGATCCCAACACCTAGAATAACTCCAAAGAAAGGTAAGCCTCATACACAGGCCAGGTGGGCTCAAGCCTGGGAGATTCTGGGACACTCCATGAGGATGCTCTACATGTCCCAAGGAAGCTTCCACAGCAGGCTTCCTGGTTTCTAACGGAAGCACTCTTTGTGAGCAATACTGGAGATTTCAGATGGATCATTTCAGAAACACTAGTGTTCACGTTTGTCTAGGACGTCTGGGCTTTCTTCTAGGTCTTGATCTTGTTATCACATGGCTACCTTTCCCATTAATCAGACTGCAACTTACCAGTCGGCTGTCTTCCCTCCCTTTTCTTCTTGCCTTCCTCCTCTTTCTTTTTTGGTTTTTCTTTCCTCCCCTTCTTCTTTGTCCTCGCCTTCCCCAAAGAGAGCAAAGGAAAGACACTTGAGGCCTAAGAGAAAGAAAGCCATCTGTAGGCCAGGGATTGAGTCTTCAACTGACCCATCATCACTGGCTAGATGTTTTATCTTGACTTACCGTCTCGAGAACTCTGGGAAAATAAGTTTCTACGTGTCAGCCCATGGAGTCTGTCCTTTTCTGCTATGCTCGACTCAACTGACTGACACAGATGTCTGGGTGGAGTTATTGTTAGGAATATTCCTTAGAACGAGCCTCTCCACCAATGCAAATAATTCTAATCAGGCCAAATCACACCAAATAAAAGACGCCCATGTTTAATGCCATACTTCTGGGTGACACCTGGGCATGGCGAGGGAAAGAGAGAAAAGGGGAGACCACGCAAAACCCAGAGACCATGTGTTCATTCTCTGGGGGGCAGTCTAAATAGTCTGTGGGAGTGGTCCTGACCCTCCCTGGGGAGGGGTCACCACTTGGCAGACTTTCCCAGAGGTGAAGTCCGGACCAAGGCAACTCCCAGGGGAGGGGGCTTGAAATGGAGCTTCCTGCGCCATTCCAAAGATGGGTGCCAGAGGCTGAGGTGAGGCCCCCAAATATAATATTCCAGACTCTTTGTATAAAGGGGTGTTAGGTGATGATTTTGACCAGTTATAACACACTAACCTACTCCGATCTGTGGGTGTAAAGGGCTGACACCGTCATCAACTAGTGCAGAGGTTTGCAACCTTCCTAATGCTGCGACCCTTTAATACAGCTCCTTGTGCTGTGTTGACCCCCAAATACAAAATTACTTTCACTGCTGCTTCATAACTGTAATTCTGCTACCGTTGTGAATCATAATGCAAATATCTAATATGCAGGCTATCTCATACGTGAATGGGTCCTTCAACCTCAAAGGGATTGTGACCCATAGGTTGAGAACAGCTGAACTAGAAAGTAAAGACCTACCTGCTTGCTGGGCGCTAGTGCGCATGCCTTTAATCCCAGCACTCGGGAGGCAGAAGCAGGTGGATCCCTGTGAGTTTGAGGCCAGCCTGGTCTATGAGAGCTAGTTCCAGGACAGGCTCCAAAGCAACAGAGAAACCCTGTCTCGAAAAAAACAAAAACAAACAAACAAAAAGCAAAAAAAATATCTACTGCTCTAGGACAAACATTCTCCTTTTGGTTTTGTTTTGTTTTAACATCCTTCCTTAGGTATCCATGGGGACAGAAAGTTGAGCTTTTGAGACTTTTTCCACATCACCTACCACACCTATGACAAAGACATGTGAGCAAAACAAAGACATTAACTTGCTTTATGCAGCAGAAATAAAGACCCAAAGACCCAGAGAAAGCTTTATTTTTTTGTGTTTTATCCAGAGAGATGTATGGGATGAAGAACGAGAGGGCACAGAAAGGTCTAACCTAAGGATAATGGACCAAGGGAAAACCCAGCCGGGCTCATTTATTCCGATTCCTCTTTGGATCTCTCTGTGACATTCCTACCTCCTGAGCTAATGAGGGTGTTAGAGTGATGAGCAGGCAGGGTGGGTAAGAGAATTACTTTATGGCCACTTCACTCAAAAAGGAGAGGAAGCCAGATTACTTTTTTCTAGGTTATATGACTGGCTGTGGGAAAGAGGGGTTCTGTTCTCAACGATTTGGGAAGAGGAACTTTCCTTTCCATGGCCTGACCTGACTGGAAGGAAGCACAAGAAAGCCAGAGAAAACTCTCTCCCAACCAGCAGCCTTGTCTAATAATCCAGCATACTCACCATGCTACTTCTCCGTCTGATTTTTTTACAACATCCATCCCTACGCTAATGGTTAAACAGTGGCCACCTTCCTGAGCAAGCTGTATGATTTTGAAAGTAGACTGGAGTTGTCTACTCATTAGACCAAGACGTTGCTATCAAGAAAGCACTATACTTGAAGGTATTTCTTGACTTGAAGCTATGCACTTTCAAACATTACCTGGTGCATTACTATGACTGGCATTAAATGTGATAAGTTACGTTTATATGCTCACTTGCCCAACCAAAGTTTAACACAAATACTGTATGTGTTAGTCACTGCTGTAATTGTCAGGGACTTTACAAGTAAAAAGAGTCAGTTTTTTGTTGTTGTTGTTGTTATTTTTGCTTGTTTGGTTTTTGTTCTTTTGTTTTCTTTGTTTTTTGGGGAAGACAGGGTATGTAGCTCTGGCTATCCTGAAACTGTATATAGACTAGGCTGCTCTCAAACGCAAGTATCATTTTTTTTTTTGACCTTATGAAGTTCATGACAGACTGGCAGGAAACAGATACTAAACAAAGAAGCAAATAAGTATAAAGTCAAGGGACGCTACAAGGGGGTGGATGGTGGAAGAAGTCGACTAGATTGTGGAATTGTTATTGTGAAGTAAGTCAGGAGCACTTGCAGAGAAACCAAGCTTTTAGGAAGGTCACGCTGGAGATAAGGAGTCCTCCAAAGGAAATGGTACTTGGGAAAGAAGCAGGAAAAGCCTTAAGCATGTGTGTGCGGCACGTGTGCGTGTGCACGTGTGTGTGTGTGTGTACGCACACTCAGGAGGCAGGAAGAAGTGAGGAGTGGGGGGGAGGGGAGGAGGAAGTAATGAGGCCAGATATTTGGCAGAAAGGCCAGGTAGTGTGGACTGTTGATTTTACCCTGAAGGAAGCAAGAGAGAAACTCTGGATGGTTTTAGCACAAGGGGGCATGATTTTAATGAATGACTTGAGTCATGTTGATGACTGCTGTTGGGAATTAGCTTGTGGGCAAGTGACATCAGCAAGAGGGTCATAGGTTAACATGCTGCTGGGCTCTCAGATGAAGGTGGTGGTGGTGGTTTAGACCCACGCAGCTATGATGGAAAGGAAGCATGCTAAAAGTCTGGATCAAGTTTAAGACAGGCCACAGAATTTGCTGGTGAAGAATATATAACAAATGAGAAAGACGGGGGTTGGAGCAAAGACTCAAATTTCCTTGACTGGGTAGCCAAAGGACAGCATCATTCAGTGATAGGGTGGGGACTCCATTGAGCCCACGGTGAGTGTACTAGTACTGGAAGGCACCATTCTTAGTACCTTGTATTTGGAAGAAAGATAGCAGTTAACCCAAATAAAGCAACCCCCAAAGGAAGGTATGCATTGAGTAAGAAATTAAGGAATCATGGGAGAGGGTTGAAGGGGAGAGGAGAGGAAGGGAGGGGAGCAGAGGAAAATGTATAGCTCAATAAAATCAATAAAAAACATTTAAAAAAGGAAATTAAGGAACAAGGAGGGGAATTCCCTAAAGCAAGTGAATATAACAAAAAGGGAAAAGTCAAGGCACAGCATAATCATGCAAACATTTGAATAGAGGGAACAATAGTGAGGAAGAGGCAAGGGCTAGGGACTTTCAAAAGTTGGCTCCCCTAGAAGAAAAGCCTTTAAGGAGTTGTTTAGAAAAGGAAATGACTCAGTTGCTTAGAGGAAGGGAAAGAAAGGGTGAGAGAGAGGCAGGCCATTGCTGGGCTTTCACGAGTCGCTAACAGAGCTCCTGACACAATAACTTTTACGAAAACAGGCTTGCAGATTTTCAGTTCCGAAGTTAAATTACATTCTCATTTCAATTACTGACGGGGAGGGGTGTGAATCAGAGAGGAAAGAGGTCCTAGTGGCCGGATCCTTTGACTCTCTGGGGTGTAGAGTTACTTCGTAGTGGTTCCATTCACTTCAGGGAACAGGTTACACCTGGAAACTCTTCAGTCTAGCTAGTTAAATGTTAGCAGTGCTTTGTAGGACAATTGACTAGAGACTTGTCCCAAGTACAAAATCTCAAGTAAAGTTAATGAAAACATTCTAGTTTATAGTCATCCATATAAAGGATATTTTTTTCTTAGTTTAATTATATACTCAATAGTATGGTACTATTTTATATCTTAGTTAAAATCCAAACCTATCATTTTTTTATAAATTGTGTTTATTAGCTGGGCAGTGGTGGCGCATGCCTTTAATCCCAGCACTTGGGAGGCAGAAGCAGGTGGATCTCTGTGAGTTTGAAGCTAGCCTGGTCTACAAGAGTTAGTTCCAGGACTTCCAGGACAGACTACAACGCTACAGAGAAAGCTTGTCTCAAAAAACCAAAAAAAAAAAGGTCTGTATTTATTTATTTATTTACTTATGGTTTTTCAAGACAGGATTTCTCTGTGTAACAGCCCTGACTGCCCTGGAACTCACTTTGTAGACCAGGCTGGCCTTGAACTCACAGACGTCTACCCTTCTCTGTCTCCCAAGGACTGGGATTAAAGGCGTGGGCCACCACTGCCTGGCAAAAATTACATTTATTTGTTTATATGTGAGAATAAGTGTCTGTGGTGACACATATGGATGCCAAAAGACACGTTTGGGAGTCAGTTCTTTCTTTCCACAATTGTGGGTCCAGGGGACTGAACTCTGGTCATTAGGCTTAGCTGTGGACTCCCTTACTTGCTGAGCCATCTTACTGGCCCCAAACACATAATTTTTTAAATATATTCTTTGTTGTTGTCCATAATTATCCACCATAAGTTTAGATGTTTGAAGCAGTTTTTTTCCTGTGTTACAGATTTCAAGGGTAATACCAACCTGTTGCCATCTCTCTGATGATGAAATGACTCCTAAACATACATTCATCAAAAACAGCCTGGACACATCTCTCAGTTGATATCAATACGGTTTGCCAGTGTAATCTAAACTAAAATTGGCACAACCTGAAGCATACGTTTTTTTTTCCCCCTGAGCACGCATGTGCCTGCATAATCCCCCCTTCTAGCTGGGCCTCCTATGAAGCGAAGGCCTGGAAGTGGGTCTCATAAAAAAAATCTATTTTATTTTTCATCATTCCTCTGGCCAAACAGCAAATTACAAAGTGGTATTCAATCAGTCAATTTATCTAATTCTGAGTCGGATAAATTGCATTTAGGTAATTACATGTTTAAACAAACTCGTATCCAAGTAGATACCATTAAGTCTTAAGTATTAGGAAGACAGGCGATTACAAGGTTCGGCTGGAAAAGAGAAAAAGCCAAAGACAGCCCTCGCTCTGTATCGGGTAACAAATGAATTCAACTGCATCTAAAGGGCTTTTGTGAGAGAGGAAAAAAATGGAGTTGTGAGTTCTGGTTTACTTAAGACACATTGTTCATTATCTTATTTCTAATCTACCATTCTCTTAATCTTGCAAACAATAATTTGATGTGTGCTGGGAATGGAGGAAGGTTCTACTGTGGTACAGTGGAGCGATTGTTATGCACAGGGGGAGGCAGCAGGGTACAGCTATTCACGGAGGGGTAGACAGTAAATCACTGTTAGCAAATCCCACTTGCATCACACCCAGAGGATTCCAACCGCAGCCTCACCTCCTGCTGTGGGTCTCTTAGAGTTAAGTTTCTCCTTGCTCCCTGTTCCCAAGCATCTCGTCATATACACTCACCTCTTATGTCTCAAGGCTCTTTTTTTTCTTCACTGAAAGATGCCAGACACTGTAAGGCAGCAGTTAGATGTCAGGGTGGCCTTTATTCACCTTTAGATCTGAAATCACAAATAAGAAGGATGCGATTGCTTTCTAGTGTTTCTCTTTTTCATTTTTAAGTGCAGCTCTTTTACCCAATGATCGATTCCTTATAGTATGGGATCCTTGAAAAGGAGCTCGACTGATTTTACTAGTTTATCCCTTTCTTTGTGAATGGTGTCCTTGCTGTCTGCTAGGTGCTGGAGAGAAAAGCAAAAATCAGAGACTGTCCTAGGGCTCGGGGCTTCTAATCAAGCGAGAAAGAGAAGCTCTCGGCACACCCCTGCACAGGATCTTGACTCTGGCTATGATGCAGGGTATGTTCTACAAGGAAACTTACCGAGCCCTTTGAGAATGAATGAAGACTGAGGTGTGTGTGTGTGTGTGTGTGTGTGTGTGTGTGTATACCTGTGTGTGACACACACATGGGCAGTGTCAGGGAAGACTCTCTTGAAGTAGAAGATTTGATGCAGACACCTGAAGGATGAGTAGAGGTTTTAGTCACAAGACAAAGGGAAAATTTCAAGGCGAAGGATGCAGTGAGGCCTTAGATAGAAAGGAGTTCAGCTTTTTAGAACACACGCGTGTGCACACACACACACAATTTTCCATATGGGTGCTGGGAACCAATCCTGGTCCTCCGGAAGACCATTAAACACTGAACCATCTCTTCTGTAAGAAAATTAAGCTATTTAAAAGCAGAGATTCTCATCAAATGCCTGGACGAGCTCTTTAAAGGGCGAGCTTACTGGGGTTTTTTGTTTGTTTGTTCGTTTGTTTGTTTTTAGTCTTATTTTACCCCTCCCCCCCCCACACCTTGTCAGGTGATTTGAGGAAGTGGATCCTGTCACGTAGGTATCTGCTATTGAGAGTCATAAAGGGTAGCTTCCAGGCCTAATTCTCCACACAAGGGAAGCCACCTCTTTTTCTGGGCCTCCATCTGACCCTTGTAAAATGTGACCTTAGGACTGATGTGGAGGATGATTGAGTCGCTTGCTAATGCTTACCAGGAAGTGGGTGTCCTGGATTCCCCATGCACTCTGGTTAATCCATAACATTCCTGGGAAGTGAATCAGTTACAAACCCCAGGGGCAGGTAGGCCAACTGTGACTCTAGAAAGATAAGGGATTCGTCCAAGATGACCAGCTAATCTGTTGCCTAAACCGCGGAAGCTTCCTGAAATACTCTACAACCGTGCCGCTAAAGTACAAAACCTGCCAAGTTTTCAAATTCTAACGTTCGGTGATTCTTTACTCTCATTGGCGGTTTATCTTGAGTAGCAGGGTACATTGCAGACTCCAAGAACTTCGGAGGGGCAGCGACTTTGCTGAAAAGTTAAATAAGGTTTTGGGGAGAGTCTGAGGTTGCGAAGGGGTAATGGCTTCACGAGGTTTCTTGTGACTGACTTTTCTTCCTGGTTCTTGGAGCATCTTTTTTTCTCTGGCAAGTATAAATGTGGTACCATGTGTTCAGGACACCAGCCGCCTAATTGGATACTGAGATTTTAGGATCTAATAATTGCCAGGAAGATTCTGGGTGGTATTTCTTTACCTTCAAAAGTAAATTCAAATTCTTTCCCTCTTGTATCCCGCAATTTTAAATTAGGTAAATTTAATCTCCCTCCTCGTGGCTCGGGGATACTACAAGTTAAACATACAAGTATTAATATTGAAAATAATTACCCTTTAAACAATATCTTGAAACGCGATGTGGGGCACTTGCAATATATCCATAAAGCAAACAAGACAGCTTAATTGTTTGTTTCTCCAAAGCAAGGAGCTAAACCGGAATTAATTTGGTTCAGTCTGTGAAACAATTCGTTTGCTCTGCCTAATTCTGCCAATTAAAAAACTTTTCCCAGACATAATTAGCATGTAAATCAGCGGTAGGGAGCGAAGAGGGAGCCCTGGCGACCAGCGCCGGGTGGAGATACCGGACGAAGGACTGTCACTAAACCAGCCCAACGCCAGCCTAAATCTGGGTGCTAGAGAAGTCTCCGCGTGGAAGCCTGTCCCACCAAGTCCCAGGGCTAGGAGGATGACACTGGCAGACAGTCCCCACCGAAGCCTTTAGAACCGGAGCAAGTCGACCACCACCTCTCCTTCTAGTGCCCGATCTTCTTCCAGAGTCGCGCCCAGAACCGAGGGTGCTGCGCGCGCACCTAGGGCCGCGCCCCCAACCACCCGGGATCTGTATCTACTTTTGCTGGCCTAGGAAGGGTGGGGATAGCGGCCCCTGCTGGTAGTTTTGGAGAACCGCAGAACTGCTTTTCTCCTTTAATCATTCTTCCCACCCTTTCCCCAGGTGGTTTTGTGAGGGGGAAAAAAAGCCCAAGGGCGGAGATGTGGAGTACTTTGTCACGTATTCGTCGTTTTTTTTTTTTTTCTTTCCAGAGCACTTACGAGCTCTGCACTTACGAGATTTTTGCACATGCTGGAATGGAATACAGGGAACGTGGACTTAGTAGCACTAGCCCCAAATTGGGGAACAGGTACAATTTCTAACATGAAGCTTCTCAGCCAACCTGGGTCTGAGACTACGATCCTCCTTCCCACTTGCTTTCCTCCGCTGACTTAACGTGCAGTAGAGATTGCTCCGGGAATTGCTTGGCCATCCAGCGTTACTTTCTTTGAAGGCAGCGGCCTCAGTGGGCACCATCTGCGAAACCTACTCTGGGAGCAGCAGCCCCGGCGCGCAGTTGCTTGAGGGGAGCAGCCGGCGCGGCAGCGAGGGCGCGCCGGCTGGGGGAGGGGACTGTGGTGTGGCCTGACCAGTTGGCACAAGCCTGTAAACTGCAAGACTTCTTTGCTATTGTAAGTCCAGGCAGCGGAGAGAGGCCGTGCCTGCCATTCTTCATGCGCTCATAACAATAGAGCCTTGGAAATAGTTGCGATTTCCCTTTTCCAAGAAGCTGCTGGATTCCCTTTGGTATTGTTTGAGTCTTATGTCTAAAGTTTACTAAGAACGATCCTCACCGCGGACTTAGACGTTTTCAAACAGATCACGGTCGTTGACCACGTTCTCAGCACCCGTAGTTTATATGTTTATTTAACGTGTGCTATGAACGGGTGTGTGTGAGAAACTATTTTTAACCACAATTCATCTGGGCAGCAAAAGGGTCCATCACTTCCAGAATCTACCTTCTGATACAGTAATCAGAAATAGAAAGGTTTGCCGTCCCTTTAAAACTTTTCCATTTAAGAAAATCGATGGACAAACTCTTTCTTGTAACTTGTTCCTCTCTTTCTATTTTTATTTCTTTTTCTGATTCGGCAGAGCTCACCAATGTTGTCTGGGATTTCTTTTCTTTTCCTTCCTTTTTCTTTTCTTTTGCTAGAGCCCATGTGGGGGTGGGTAGACGAGGGCTGGGCTTTTCCTGGAGTCGCCCCCGCTGAGACCTCCCGAGTGCGCGTCCCGGGGCGGGGAATTGAGGTGGACGGGGCTGTCGACTCAGTCCAAAGCTCTACCTGCGGCCACACGGCGTCAAGTCTTTCCTTCCTTTGGTTTATTCGCACAGTTTCCCTCCCTCTCTCTCTCCCTCGCGCACACACCACAGCTCTCCTTCGGGTCGGAGACAGCAGCCCTGGGAGGCGGGGTTGCTGGAGGAGAGTCTGCTCTGCGCAATCCAGTCCGGGACTTGGCTCCGCCCGGAGCGTCGGCCTCTCCGGTGACACTGGAGTAGTGAGCCACACGGGGTGAGGCTGCAGCCAACTCCGCTCCCCACGCACTCGGCTGCCTAGGCGCTCGGGACGCAGCACAGGCGCTTCTCCGCGGTGCCGACTGCCCGAGATGCCCGCCTAGGAGCGTGCGGCCGCGGCCAGCGTCGCCACACCCGGGACACTGAGCTCGGGGTTGCAGAGCCGGCCAGAGTCCTGCACCTCTGCCTCAACCCCCACCCCGCCCCCCGCCCTGAAATGACTAGTTAATGGGCGCTGGCACCGCTGAGGGGACTCAGAAGTGAATCCAAGTGGAATTTGGATTTGGAAAAGAGTTTCTTGAACATTTACCGTGGTCCTCGCTGGTTTTTCTTTCTCAGTTTTTTTCTTTTTCTTTTCTTTTTCCTTTTTCAAAAAAAATTTTTTTTTGCCTTCTCCTCCGGTCCTCTTCTGTCATTGGAGATGAACACAGCTCGCTTGCATCCCAGAAAGTAATCGCCGTGACTGTTGCCCCCAAAGAGACAAGCACACATGTAGGAATGACAAAGGCTTGCGAAGGAAAGAGCGCAGCTCAAGGCCCAGAGAGATCTTCTCGATAATGGATTACTAAATGGGATACACGCCGTGCCAGTCCGCTCCGAGCCGCGGCCGCCTGCCCGTCGATGCACCGAAAAGGTATGGCTTTAACGTCCCTGAGCGCCCCACCTCCTGGATCCAGGCTTGGGTAAGGGTCCAGGGGTTAACCCAGGTGCGCGTTGTGGGCTTTGTAGTGTCTGTGTTGTGTTTGGTCTTATGTCTCTGTCTCCCAAGCGTTGTCCCTTCCTGGGGGAGTAGCCCCGAGCCCTGCCTGCAGCTCTTTTCAGTCCTGAGCCCCAGAGACTCTGGGCTCCATGTCAGAAGCTTCCCCACCCGAGTCGCGCACACGACCGGCGCCGCCCCGGACCTAGACCGAGAGGATGGCTGTCCTGCCCAGCGGTGTGTGTGTGTGTGTGTGTGTGTGTGTGTGTGTGTGTGTGTGCCGGACCCGAGGCTAAGAGCTCACTCTTGAGCCAGTAGGGAGGAAAGCGGCCCTGGAGGGTGGGATTCTCGAAAGCGCCGGGTCCTGGTGTCGAATGCTGGGGAAGGGGGAAGGGTTCTGTCCTCGAGGGCCAGAGAGGATTGGGGAGTACAAAGCTATTTGTGTCCAGCCACAGGTTTAGGCTCTGTTGTGGGAGAAATGGTTGTGCGGGGAGGTGGTGAAGAGATGAGGATCTTTTGTTATCAGTGCGGGCTCTGGGCTGGGCTCCACGGAGTGCGTGAAACTTGTAATGGCCCTGAGCATCTGCGCGCCCTCTCTCTTGGTGGGATCCACTCTTCAGTCGCTGCTGGCACCAAAGGTTCCTGGCTTTGTTTGCTGGAGTAAGTGCCAAGGAGCGGTGTCTTGGTATAGCACGGCGCCCCCGCCCTAGGTCCTGTCCCCTGCCTCAGTTCCCACCCGAGCGAACAGGGCACCATTTGTCGCAGCTGCGTCTCTCTCAGGCACTGAGCTTTTACACGCTAGGGCTGGCCCCTGCTGCGTCTTCCTCCAAGACCTGTGCTGTCCCTCTCGAGAAAAGATGTACCCCGGGAGAGGGAAGGGTGGGGAGACCTGGCAAGAAATAGCTCTGGGCTTGCCACTCTGATGAAAGCTCTGCCGGGCTGCAGATTGTTGGATGTCCTGACTGCTTGTTGTGTCTTGGAGCTCAGCCTCTGGAGCCGTGGGGCGCCCAAAGCAAGCTGGGCAGTTCCCTGTTCGTGATCCTACTAGGTGGGCAGTGTCAGTTTGCCCGATCTCCGCTTTTTTTTTATTTTTATTTATTTATTTTTGCTCCCCAAGAAGGGAAACGGTATAAAGCAGGATCCTGAGGTCTCTCACGGGCGGTACAGAGCCAGGCTGCTGTCCCGACCCTGAGTGTGTCAGGGACAGAAACCGGACCCCGACATTTTTCCCGCTCGCTCGCCGCCCCCTTCCTAGCGCCTCCTCCCCTTTACAGTGCAGGACCCCCGTACCCGGCGCTTCTGGAAAGTTTCTGTGATAGCTAAAGACTGCTGGAAACACCAGACGAGGGCTCAGCGTGTTCAATCTGACCCCGAGAGAATTGCGCGGACAACTGAGATGTGACTAGGGGCTAGATTGCCTGTCCACTAGAGAATGGCACCTCCTCTGGCCGGCAGCACTTCCTGGACCAGGGTCTCCAGCAGCTGGAGAAGGTCTTGGGGGCCGGGATTGGGACGTGATGAATTCAGGATGCTAATGTGATCACAAGTGGCGGACAGAAGCTGCTGTGAGGTCGCTTGTGGACACTGGCCCTGGCTCGCGGGCTCAGGCGCCTCTAGTTGTAAACGCAGCATCCCGAACCTCCTGCGCCAGTCGCAAGGCATTGCAGTTCGCACATGTCCAGGGAGGAGAGGAGCAGGGCCAGGTGTTGGTGGAGAGGAGGAGAGAGGAACGATTGGAGGCGCTGTCCTCCTAGCCTGGGCAAGCGTTTCCAGCGGCTGCCTCTAGCCTGTGGGGAAGTAGGCAGTCCTGCCGGCAGTTCCGCCTCAGTCTGTTCCGAGCGATTGTGGCTGCCTTGAGAGTGTGGTGACCAAGCCCAGCCTCAGAGGGATCTCTGTCCTATTTACTCTGGATGAAAATCGAGTTATTACTGAATCCTTGAAAGATTTAAAATACAGGCGAACCTACACAGACACACACACACACACACACACACACACACACACACACACACTCTGCATTCGTAACTCTGCCATTTAATTCAGTTGTGGGCTTCTATTAGTGGATCGTAGAAAAAGCTATCGTTTAACGCCCATCTGCTCTGATTTTCAAGCTTTTCTCCGGTAGGGAGGTCGAGTATCTTTGCCTTGTTTTTCCTTAATCCTGGTGATTTAGGCTTTCCTTCCCCTGGTGGACTTATATTTTGGCGTAAAATTCACCATCTGCTACTGTGATGGCAGGGGGTTAGTGGTTTTGGATACATTAATCCTTTATTTAGCTCAGTACCCCCAAGGTAAAGACGCCTGGGCTCAGTTTTTGAATGAAAACACCACACATTTTTTTTTCCTCCTTACCCACAACAGCTACCATAAGTCAAGATAGCAAGCATTTTGTAAGGTTTATAAATTCCACGTTTAGTCTTCGACAATAAACTTTTATTAAACTACTCCAGGCACCAAAGTTAATTAGTAACCTCACCTTAAATACAGTGGCAGATCCGTGTCTCCCCCTATTAACCTAAATTGTCTGGTAAAACATAATTGCACCAGCCGTTTGAGTTTGGTTTACCCATTTCTGTTTAGAGAGTAGCGTCTGGTTGAGTCTTAGGTAACCCATACTCTCTTGTTTTTATTTGGGTTTTGTACATTGCTGAATGAAGGACTTGGCAAACCAATATAAGCGGGAAAAGAATGAGTAACAGATTTGAAACCTTGATTTT